TTTAAAAAGGCAAGATGCTAAAGAGTATATTGTATGAGTCCAGGTGCTGGTGCTCACACTTATAATCCTAGCACTTTGGGAGGCCGAGGTGGGCAGATTGCCTAAGCTGAGGAGTTCAAGACCAGCCTGGGCAACACAGTGAAACCCCATCTTTACTAAAACACAAAAAATTAGCCGGGCATGGCAGTATGCACCTGTAGTCCCAGCTACTCGGGAGGCTGAGGCAGGAGAATCGCGTGAACCCAGGAGGCAGAGGTTACAGTGAGCCGAGATCGCACCACTGCACTCCAGCATGGGGAACAGACTGAGAGTCTGTCTCAAAAAACAAAAAAATATATATATATATATATATATATATATATATATATATATATATATATGTATAAGTATATACATGTATATTTTTAAGTATATATGTATATGTGTGTGTATATATATAGTATGGTACAATCTGTATACAAAAAAGAAAAAATTGTATGTATGTATTTATCTGAGAATCAAGGGTATATGAAGAATTAAAACAGATTTCCTATAAGAAATGATACTGTAGGCCGGGCATGGTGGCTCATGCCTGTAATCCAAGCACTTTGGAGGCCAAGGTGGGCGGATCACCTGAGGTCGGGAGTTCAAGACCAGCCTGACCAAAACGGTGAAACCCCGTCTTTAAAAAAAAAAGAAAGAAAGAAAGAAATGATACTGTATAACTGAAGGACAGGATTTGGAGGGAATCTTTTTCACTAAAAGCGTTTTTTCAATTTTGAACACAATGCAATATCTATTCAGAAAACAAAACTTCACATTTAAATGAAAATGGCATAGCTGATACTCAATTATTGGTTTAGTATAATAAGTAGATCCACATAGAGAACATATTTTAAGGCTTAAGAAGACATTATCTGTAGGAAAATTTTTTGCTATTGAACAGGAAATACGGTAGCAAAAGAAATACCACACACACAAAAATCCATTTAGCAGCATTCTTGGTTTTTTGGTGTTTTTTGTTTGCTTCTGTTTTGTTCTGTTTGTTTTTGAGATGGAGTCTCACTGTGTCTCCCCGACTGGAGCGCAGTAGCAGCATTTTGGCTCACTGCAACCTCTGCCTCCCAGATTCAAGTGTTTCCCATGCCTCAGTCAACTGAGTAGCTAGGATTACAGGCACCCACACCCACGCCTGACTAATTTTTGTATTTTTCATAGAGACAGGGTTTCACTGTGTTGGCCAGGCTGGTCTCAAACTCCTGAACTCAAGTGATCCATCCCCTTCGCCCTCCCAAAGTGCTGCAATTGCAGGTGTGAGCCACCATACCCAGCCTGCTGTGGTTGTTTTTTCTTTTTTTTTTTTACAGATTCCCCAAGAAAACGCTTGAGACAGGGATCATTCAGTAGGATCACTGCTTGTAGGTCATTACTCAGCCAGGCAAGGTGACTTTGGCCTGTAATCCCAGCACCTTGTGAGGGCAGATCACTTGAAGTCAGTAGTTTGAGACCAGCCTAGCCAACATGGCAAAACCCCCGTCTCCACTAAAAATACATCAAATCAGCTGGGCATAGTGGTATGCCTATAATCCCAGCTCCTCGGGAGGCTGAAGCACGAGAATCGCTTGAACTTGGAAGACAGAGATTGCAGTGAGCTGAGATCAAGTCACTGCACTCCAGCCTGAGCGACAGAGCAAGGCTTCATCTAAAAAAAAAAAAAAAAAAAGAAAGCTCAAATGCCTTAAACTACACTATACAGACCTTGGTGCCCGAAGTTACATTGGAATTAGAAATCCTATGGTACCTTTGAAAATCATATGAGATGATTCCCTAGGAGATTTTTAGTAAAATCAATATTGATTATTGTCCAGAGTTCAGGGATATACATTTATCTTTCTATGCCTAGTAACTTAGAATGTGATTCACTCCTTTATAGGTTCTTTTTATTTCAATATTAGAATAGATTCCTAGCCATTAAAAAGACTTTCATTCATTTTTCAACAAATAATTATGAAGGTGCTGGGCTATGCCTCAGGACTAACTAAACAATTGGCTTCTAGAAAGAAACTTATGTGTAGACAATGTATTTTGGCAGTCTGTGAACAACCGGATTTATTTATTTATTTATTTATTTTTTTTGAGATGGAGTCTTGGCTCTGCCACCCAGGCTGGAGGGCAATGGCACAATCTTGGCTCACTGCAACCTCCACCTTCTGGATTCAAGCCATTCTCCTGCCTTAGCCTCCCCAGTAGCTGAGATTACAGGTAGGTACCACCACACCCAGCTAATGTTTCTATTTTTAATAGAGATGGGGTTTCACCATGCTGGTCTCAAACTCCTGACCTTGTGATCCGCCTGCTTCGGCCTCCCAAAGTGCTGGGATTACAGGTGTGAGTCACCACACCCAGACAAAAAATGTTTTTTGAGACGGAGTCTTACTTTGTTACCTGTGCTGGAGTCCAGTGCCGTGATCTCGGCTCACTGCAACCTATGCCTCCTGGGCTCAAGAAATCCTGCAATCTCAGTCCCCAACTCAAGCAGCTGGGATGACAAGTGTGTGCCCCCACACCAGGCTAATTATTTGTATTCTTGGGAGAGACAGGGTTTCACCACGTTGCCCAGTCAGGTCTCCAACTCCTGAGCCCTTCTCGGCCTCCCAAAGTACTAGGGTTACAGGCATGAGCCATGGTGTTCGTTTGCTACAGGAATTCTTTCAACATTTTCTCTAAGTGTTTTTCTTCTGTGTGATCTTTTAACTTTTATTTGGTAACTGGCCTTGTGAAAACCAAGTAATTAGCACACCTGGTTGGCTTCAAATTATGATCCAAATTTAACCATTTCCTAACACTACTACCACTCCACTCTGGTCCCAGTCACCATTGTCACTCTCCTAGAGGACTGCAGTTGCCTCATTGTAGGATACTGGCTGCTGCAGAAGGGGCCAATTTGAAAAGAAGAGTTCAACTGAGGACAGGTTTAGCCTGTCATAATTTTGGCTACACAGATCCAAATGTAGACTCGACAATCAGAATATTCTTCAAGAGATTCAGGAAGCCTTCCTGTTTGATTTAATTCATGGCATGAGGGACTTCAGAAGCCTTTGCTCCCCCCAGAAACCACCCCCTCCACCCTTACTCCCACCCACAGATTTGGGCATTCAGGGACATGTTGGCCACCTCCTGTTCACCAGGTTCCCTGGCTGCCTACTTCACCAGGCACTTGGGGTGGGAACTCTTTCCATCTCTATCTGGACCCTGCCTCCCACCTTTCCATTCTCCCCATTTGTCTGCACTTTAAGGTCCAGGAAAACTCGGGACCAATAAGTTCATCCTAAGAAAAGAGGATAGCACATCAAAGGCTTTCATCTTAGGTAGCTTATTTTATTGGATTACTTTGCCAATATAACACTTTCTTACATTCAGGAGACTTCCCTCAGACACATGCCTAGAAGGCATCAGAGGGACACGACTCGACCCAGAAATCCAAACTTTCTACAGTGTCTTTCATGTCTTTCTCACCAAAAGTGAAGCGAAGACTTCTCTCATCTGCACTTCCCAGTGGAGGTCAGTCCTTAATTATGGATAGAGTGAACTCAGATGGAATCCCGAACAGCCAATCACTTGGTAAGGGGAAGGCTGAGGAACGCTAAGACACACGGTTCCACTTATTCTGGGAGCCAAAGACAGATCTCCAGTGTATGGTGGCACACTAATGGAGGTGACCAGGTCATCGTTGGTCAGGGGCTGGCTTCGGACACGTTCCAGCATCTCCAGGCCTGCAAAAGTAGTGCCCAGGGCTGATGAACCAGGGCCCATAACTGGGGCCCATGGGAGGCCTGGACTCCACCAGGGACACTGCAGGGAGGATGTCACCCCAGCCCAGGCCTTCCACGGTAACCCATTTACACCTCCCGGCTACCTTCTCCAGCTTAAGCAATCTCATGCCACAAAAAAAATGAGCACTTTTTTTCCCAATGGACTCTGGGAAGCACCTGGATTCTCCAGCCACACAAGGGATTCTTCAAGAATCCAATATGGGCCGGGCACGGTGGCTCAAGCCTGTAATCCCAGCACTTTAGGAGGCCAAGGCGGGTGGATCACGAGGTCAAGAGATCAAGACCATCCTGGTTAACATGGTGAAACCCCGTCTCTACTAAAAATACAAAAAATTAGCTGGGCATGGTGGCACGTGCCTGTAATCCCAGCTACTCAGGAGGCTGAGGCAGGAGAATTGCCTGGACCCAGGAGGTGGAGGTTGCGGTGAACCGAGATCGGGCCATTGCACTCCAGCCTGGGTAACATGAGTGAAACTCCGTCTCAAAAAAAAAGAATCCAATATGCCACACAACTCAGCCAGAACTCCACCATCAAGCCCCTCCACCACCACAGTTCAGCCGAGGATACCTACCTCGAGCATGACAATAGGAGTCCCGGCTCCCCATGCAACAGAACATGTGCAGCAGCCACTGCCTGGCCCTGTGTGGTCCCACTACAGTCACACGAGTCTGGCCTGTAGCTGTGAACCAGCTCTCCAGCTGAATAAGGGTGCGGCTGTTCATCTCGATGCAGCGAAGGTATGTGTCACTGTGCCCTGTGAGCAGAAGAGGTGAGAGGAGGGAATGTCAGCCACCAGCCCTTGGGGAGTGGGGAGGTGGCTTTGGGGGAAGGGATCTGAGAATTAAGAAGGTGACAGGGTAGGGAAAGATTGAAAATCAAGAAGACAAGGCTGAAGAAAGGGACATTAGCAGGGGCTACTCACCGAAGATAAGCTCCTCCTGGTCCTCTTCCATGTGGAACACCATTGGAGCATCAAAGTTTTCAGGCAGGGTCCACCATGGCTTCTTCAAGAGACCACTCGTTCCCATGTCCATGCTCTGCTCCCACCTGTTTTGGAAGAGGGGCAACTCCAAGCAACTGGTTGGCCAAGGACTTGGAAAAAGTGAGAAAGGGCCCACGCTCTGTCCTTAATAAGGAATCCAAATGACCCATCCCTTGAACCACCCTATGGTCAGTGTCCAATCCCCATAGCTCTTCCCAAGATTGTTCATTCCAAGTAATTATCTGCTCTGAGCTTAATACCTTCAAGCCAAACTTAATCATCTGATTAGCACTTGCCTATCAGAGGTGACGGAATCAAAAATTTTCTTCACTCTAAATCACAGATCTTCTTCACAGATCTACTGGGCATCAACCAGGGCAGAGGTTGAGGGACAGAGGTGCAGGGAGGCTCCAAATGGGCTCCCTAGATTTGCACAGGTGTCGGCAGCCACCCAATGACCACACAGTGTATTCCAACAAGACTGGGTTTATTATGTTGCATCAAGGGAGAGCAAACACAGGAAAATAAACTTTACACAGAGGGTTGTAGGAAGCCGATTATAGCAATTGATTAGGTGAATGTCAGGAGTGTTTGGGAGCAGACAACAGTTTTCTAAAATGGGGCAATTTGGTGATTATCCTGGTAAATTTAGGAAAGGAAATAGATTACTGTAGTCTTCAACGCAGAATGCTATAAATCTGTGGTTTCAAATATAGTTACAGATGGACTGTCTACATCTTGTGTGATAATCACTGAGCAATTTTGACTGGTTAAAATATCTTGCAGGAGTTGGGAGGATTCAACTATGTCTGTCAGCTCCCAACTGCAAGTTCCTAGGTGCTTTTTCACTCTTCAGCCTTCCCTTTTGACCAAAGACAGAATCAACCATCAGGACTTTCAATTGTGGGGTTCATATCTACACCATTGTCAGAATCCACCTGTCACAAGTTTATTGGGAGAACCCTGGCTGCGTCTGCATACCGTTGGTCTCTCGTGTACATTTTGTTACTAAATATATGTAGTGAAAATATACTCACTGCATTTAAGACTGAACAGGACATACTGGTCAAATACAGGTAATTACTAGAAACAAAATAATTATGAATCCTTGTAACCCTAGTAATAGGTTGCAAAAACAAAGGCCAATTTCAAAACCAGACCCCAAAACCATGTCCCAGATCCATCTGAATCTGTTCTGGAGAGCCAAGTAGTCTTTTAACCTTGCCACAAAACTGTTCTGCCTGTTAACAGTCATGTTTTAAGGAGGTGCTGCAAACAGTCTTCGCTGTAAAGCAAAAGTTGTCCTTGGTTGGCCAAGAAGAAACCAAAAACTATGAAATCATTCATAACCACCATGAAACTTTATTTTAAACTGGGTTACTGGACCTCCAGAAAAGGAGTAGTGTCATCTATTGATTTCTGCTAGGACCAGAGGCACATTTTGGATTGCCTTTTCTAGTCACGTTATGCCTATTGCTGGAATTAGAGCTCCCAGAGTATAGATGAAGATGGAGTCAATCATCTCTCCTGGAAGTTCTCCTGAATAGTCCACGCTTGCCTCATTTAAGGTCACTGAGTACCTCTCTCTAAGAGAAATATCATTTCCTATAGGAGTAGATTTTAAAATATTGAAAAATATTATGAATAAAATTGTCTAAAACTCCATATTACATAAGATAAATTTGTATAATGATCAAGTGACCTGATATCCACATAAAAAGTAGGCCTTAGTGTTGCACAAACTGAAATGGGTGTCATTTATCACAGTGAGAGCAGGACAATTAATAATCCTTCAACACGTGAAGATTGCTTGAGTGGAGACTTGGGAGTCACTGAAGATAAAGGACTAACACTGCAAGGAGAGACTCAATACATTATAGCAATAATGTCAGCAGACATATTTTGTTGTTTGAAGTCAGTGTTCAATATTGATAAAACTGAAGGTGAAAACTAATATTGTCAGGAAAATTTAAATTCCAGAAGAAACCTGTAGAAGGAAATCTGCCTTTTGAAGTGTTGAATAGCTATTAAATTTTTGTTACTGGAATCAGGTAGGGGATGAAAACTGCATTAGTCAGTTAGATTTAAAACAATAAATTGGGGAGTAGTGACTCAGGCCTGTAATCCCAGCGCTTTGGGAGGCCAACACAGGCGTTTAGGTGCCGGGGGTGGGCTCTGTAAGCCAAGATTTTGAGACCAGACTGAGTGACAAAGTGAGACTTTGTCTTTACTAAAAACTAAAAAAAAAATAGCCAAGTGAGGTGGTGAGCACCTGTACTCCCAGCTATTCAGGAGGCTGAGGTGGGAAAATTGCTTGAGCACAGGAGTCTGAGGCTGCAGTGAGCTAGCATCGCAACACTGCACTCTAGCCTGGGTCCAGCACAAAATCCTGTCTCTTAGAAAAAAAAAAATTAAAAACAATAGCTATAGTCTACGAAAAAAAACACAAGAAAGTTTTTACCTTAGGTGGCAGAGAAATTCCGTACTATGGAAGATTAAAATAAAATATAATTTGTAAAAGAATCTTAAAAACTTTTGGTTGGCCTCTAGGAGACAGCCAGGCATGTTGATAAGCAGAGCAAAATTTTTAAAGGAGGGCAAAGATACCAGAACGCGTATCTTGTTTTATTGTCTTGGGTGAAAGTATCTACTTGGTGTGATCAGCAGCTTGATCTGAAGACACTGGTTTGGTCGTCTTCCTCCAAAGATCATTCATTGTTCTGGAAGATACTTAAGAATCCTCAGTTTAATTCAGTCTTCATTGAGGAACCAATGAAGTCCTTTCCATTGAGGACAAGGGTAGTTTTTCCTCTAATTTTTAGAAGTCTTCTCCAAAAGACTAAATCTTCAGGTTTCTAGTCATGCAGAGACTAATTAGGTGGATATATGGGGAAGATTGTTGTTACCTATTAAAAGCTAGATGCATCAAATGAATCCTTTGTAGTATTTAGAAATGTGAGCCTGTGGTATGACAGAGTACAGGTTCAGGAAGTGAATTCCTAACTGCATGGAGCAGCCTATGGATCCCAGGAGAAGTTGATATTGCCATCAAGGCTAATAGCAATTCCCAAGACATGGAAGTTCAAGTCCTGGAGAGCAGTCTCAAATTTAGTGTTAGAATTCATTTTTTTTTTCTAATTGTTCTAAATATTCACTTGGTACAGCAAGTATGTTATTATTGTTCAAAAAAAAAAAACATTTTGGAGCTGCTCTTTTATAACAGCTACAGGAAATGTGTGCCACACACACACCCCACCCCCCAATCACTGAAGATACGTTGGAATTCCTTAAGTCCAGAATAACAGTCAAGCAATTTAATCAGCAAAACCTTGGTTGTCTATCAGGAATATCAGGAATATCCTCGATCCATTCTGCAGGTAAGCAGACAATGGCTAGAACATATTTACAAACCTTCAGTATGGCAACTGCTTTGGTTAATGCTACTTGTTTAGTGTAGTGGTACATTATTTCCTCAGGATTCTGGGTTATTGCACTTTGAATGTGAATCTCCATTTTATCATTTGGCTACTCCCTTAGGTAATAGCAAAGCTTCCAAAAGTTCTTTAATTTCTTGCCATTTTTAATGAGACTTCCTCAAGAGGTCAGAAAGCCTCTTCATTTCCAAAGTTTTGTGATATGAACCAACTCATTATATAACCACTGCCTATATAAATATTTGCTTTTTTTTTTTTAGCAGGCCCCTTCACCACTCAGAAATATTGCCTCTTTTAATCTCTCCTTCACTGAATGAAGGAGAACAATTAAGCCACTTGGGCTGATTTAATTTCTGGGAGAAGGTTATAAAATAATGGTAAATTTAGAATCATGATAGCATAGAATACTTGAAAAATTCTTGTTTACATTTTTAGACGTTAACCATTAAGAAGATACATTAACATTTTAAAAAGAACTTTCCTTAAGATCAAATAGTCCAAGACCAACAAAAAAAAAAAGAAAAAAAATTTCCAAAATATCTGTATAATGCATAGATAGGTCCCTAAAATAGGTCAAATGATCATGAATGCTCCCTTCTCAGGTAAGAGAGGGACAGTTGTCATGAGAATTAAGGAGGGCACTAACAAATACCCAAGGGCTATAATTTACACCATAAAGTACATTATGAATGTCACTAATTAGCTTTGTGCAGTGGCAGTACTGAAGCCAATGAGGTTTATCCAAGGCACGATTATTACTAATTGAATGTCTCTAATTGATAAATGACAAAGATATTTTCTTCTTTACAATAAAGGTCTTAACTGTTATATGCCAGTCTATAAAATAAACAAGAAAGTTTTTTTAACTTTAGAAGTAAACATCATTTTATTAGAAATAACTTAGAAAAGGCCAATTTGCCTTTTGACTTGTCAGTTTTTTATGTCATTCTAAGTTTGGTAACCAAAAGAACACTCATAATATGTTAGAGCCACTTAAAATTTGTAGAACATCAAGCAAACCTGAATATTCCTTTTTATATATAAATTAAAAGAGCAAACATTTTTATTAATAGTGGACAGTGGTCATTCCAAGAAACCAAAATAAAAGGCATCCTAATACTTTGATTATTTTACACAGTGGGCTTCAATTTTAGGAAAAAAAAATAACTTTTTTTTTTTTTTTAGACAAGAGTTTTGCTCTTGTCGCCCAGGCTGGAGTGCAATGGCATGATCTCAGCTCACTGCAACCTCTGCCTCCTAGGTTCAGGGAATTCTCCCACCTCCACCTCCCCAGTAGCTGGGATTACAGGTGTGCACAATGATGCCCAGCTAATTTTTGTATTTTTAGTAGAGATGGGGTTTCACTGTGTCAGCTAGGCTGGTCTTAAACTCCTGACCTCAGGTGATCCACCTGTCTCAGCCTCCCAAAGTGCTGAGATTACAGGCGTAAGCCACCGTGCCTGGCCCGACATGTTTTAGAATAGAGTAGTAGTGTTTGAAATGTATGCATTTGGGATGTATTTTGAAGACAGAAGTATCAGGATTTTCTGATTTCAAGATTTTGGACAAGTAGCTCCCAAAAAAATGTTTTTAAAAATTAGATTCCAGACTGAGTACTTTCTTCAGCATTT